GGGGGCTGACTGATGGATATATACACGTAAATAAGACAATTGCTAGTACTAGAAGAAGATTTGAGGTATGAAGAACAGATGTAGTGTTGGATACTGTGGAAATGGATGATTCAAGGCATGAGGAAAATACACAATTATAAAATAACAATTATTTTGGACTATCTATTTTTAGCAAATTCGACAAGTGAAGTGGTTCGGATGGAGTATCTTTTCTTAAATGTCAGCATAGTATTTAATTTATGAATGTGTTGCAGGCAATGTGGGAAACCATTCAAGCCAGAGAAACTTCATGCCCACATGAAGTCCTGCAAAGGGATGAAAGCTCTGTGAAAGGGTGCTCATTCTGCTGCTTCTACTAACAAGACATCCAAGGATGCACCAAATTTTTTTTTTATAATTATTCTTATTCAGCTTTTATTGGAATTAGATTATGTTTTTTTTTAGAACTTTTGGAGAAGCCTTCCATGTATATTTTTGAGTAAGAAGGTTCACAGACAAAAGCCTAAGCAATTCATGAATTCACAAGTAGTTAAAAGCCTGATTTCCATCTTAATCTCAAGTATTACATCGTGCGAATCTGAGTTAGTTGCGGCAGTGTACAACATGGATACAAGATTAAACAGGCAAAAATAACAAGACAGGCAAACTTTTGATGATAAAAATATCTGATTTAAGTTTTTCTTTCGCCAGTTTAATGAAGATAAATTATTCTTTACATTTGGATACTGAAGCAGTATTTCATGTCTACTCCTCTCTAAATATCTTAGAGCCTAATCAACTGTTAATGACCATATTCAGGTCATTGCAACATACCTAATCTAATAGCATTTGTAACAAACAATCGAATTTCCAGGCAGTTAGTAGTCAATAGCTAAGATCATAGCTGATTACTTGCCTCCAAAAATCGAGGAGTCAACATGATCGAGCAAAAACCTATATAACTTGTATATAAGCCTTTGATAACATACACTCGAAGAAGACTGTTAGTAGGTACAATTGGAGGCTAGGAACTGGACCACAACTGACATGGGGGAGACCAATCTGAAATACTTGCAACATCCCAAAACACGACTTCATCTATTGGCTGGCTATACATGGAAGACTACTAACTAGAGAGAGGCTATACAAGATAGGACTAACAAAAGACAGAACTTGAACACTATGTGGGAATGCCAACATCACACATCACTTCTTCGAGTGTGTGATATCAAAGGCTTGTATACAAGAAATAACGCACCGATTGAAGTTCACATGTGGGAGCATAGACATAAAGGAAGCTGAAAATTAATAGCACGAAGAGCGCAAGGCAAAGTTATGAAGCTGAAAATTAATAGCACAAAGAGCGCAAGGCAAAGTTAGCAGGCAATTGGTATGGGCAATCCTGACAGTTGCAATATTACACATATCGGAAGCTAGGAATGAAGCATTATGGAAACATAACACCTTACTGAAGTATTTCAGTAAGCATAACACATTACCGATTCTTTCTAAAGCCCGGACAATCACCTGCCAAATTCTACAACTGTGTTTCTTGTACTTCTTTAACTATCTCTCCCTAACACATTCCTTGCCTCGTGCAACGTGGATCTATACTGAGCGTCATCATTCCCTTAAATCGGCCTCTTCTTTTCCTAAGTTTATGTTATTGTAAATCATACCAGCTAAAGTAAGCTTAAGAGTTATATGAGTCTTACCTTTTACTAAATAAATAGGAAAATACACAACACCTTCTGTCTAGCAAGTATGAAAGCTGGAATATATTTTAGGAGTAAGAGGAAGCAGAAAAGAGAAAAAACAAAGGACAACAAGTTGAAAGTTGGTTGAACTTCTGAGCACAATGAACTTTTTCCTCATCAGAATGGTATTTCATTCAATTCAAATTATGTGTATTACTTTTCTTTTTGATTGTTTCAAAAGTAGCTATATTGAAAAGAAACTATGTTGCTTCTATGTGGTACTGGAATTCCTTAATACTACAAATCTTTGATATCAAGAATTAAGAAAATTTAGACCAAACCATCACTGAATGACTAAATACACCAAAAGCAAGGAGTAAGACACTGAGAAGGATAATAATTATAGTTTTACAAGTTTATATCCTACTCCCATGGTCTTAAAATCTACAAATTTTTGTGATAAGAAGGAATTTTTCTCTTTTATCTATACATAGGTATTGGCAATGATTCCCCCTCTATAAAGGTAGTATAGCATTTTCTACACTCTATCCAATAAGCTTAGAAAGCAGCTAAAGTGTAAAGTATAGGCCATGTTTCATACTTTTAAGTTGGAGAAATAAAAATAAAAATATACCTTGAGTTGACATTTTGATGGATCTCAATCTTTGCTGCATCATAAAGAAAAATATGCAAAGTTAGATACTAAATGCTACATATTTATATATTTAATATAAACAAATTAAAAAATACACATCATATACATTTGAGTTACTTCTAACCTTGGTGGCGATGAGCGAGAAAGAAGTTGCATTTTACTAAACATTTCCTCTTGGCGTGCCACTATAGTATTCAATTGAGAATTTAATGATTGTATTTGAGATTGCTGGTCTTGTATTTGAGATTGTTGATTATCTACCACAGTTTCAACTGTATTTAATCGATTCTGTAATTCAAGTTGGGCACTAACAACTTCTTGTTTCCCCTTTTTGAGGGAGTCTTCTAACTCTGCCATTCTCCTTTGTGTAGATCTTGTAGTATTAGGTTTTGGACCATAACCAAGTCCTTTTATGTACCCCGATTTTGTACCAAGTATAGTATCCATAATTTCATCAATAGTCATGGAAGACTCTCCCGATGTATATAGATCTTTCAAATCTGTCATGTTGTTCTGCATAAACATATTAGAATAATTTAAAGGAGAATGCACAACTTTTGAAAAACATTAATCTAACAGATCCAATGAGAATATTATAAAAGATGAAAAGTAATTTCTTACATAGTGAGTCTCAGCCTCTAAAGATGACCATCCTTTCTCACTCGTGTAATGAGTATGCTTATAGAACTCGATTCTTTCAGGCTCTACTCCTTCAGGGTTAGTTTTACCCTGTGAAATAAGAAACAATTGAAATAATACTAAAGTTTCATTAGTCAAAACAATAAAAATGGTATAACTTACAAGTTCAGCACGAGCATGCTCATCCAAATTAATCTAAAACCTCTCCTAAAAATCAAATAAGTATTAAAGAAAAACACAGAACGAGCAAAATCCCTTTCATATTAAATAATAATCATTACATTTGCAAACATACTAATTAACTTCAAACTTAAGTACCCTTTGTGAATCATATATTGCAGTTCAAAAACTTTATTTACTCTCATAAACAGTGTTCTAGACAGCCGAGCTACATACATAATATCACTCTTTTCTATTTCCAGTAAGGTAATGTCACGAATTGATAAGTTAAGGATTGACTTTATATGACAAGGAAATAACAAAAATCATGTATTTCATTTTCTCAAGATCACTATTCCAAATACCTTGAAGGCTTAGGTATTAGGAACCTGACAGGACATAATAGAATCTGCTAATGAAATGGCTATGGGGGTTCAATAATTAAGATGGTGCTTTCTGGAAAAAAATGTTTTTTTTGTAAAAAATGAAATACTATCACACTTGTCCATTGTTGTATCATAGCTCCATATGTTTTTGGTACATGGAAGAGCATGGCAAAACTAAGGAATTAATTTAACCAGCAATGCAGCTGCAAACCAGGTAATGACATTCACTTTAAATATTGGGAGGATAAATGATCAAAGAACACTACTCTCCTAAGTGACTTCCCTACTCTATTCTCAATAGCCTCTGATCCAAACTCTATTATCTCCTAGAACAGAGAAAATAAATACATGGATGCAATTGTCCAGAACAAATTTTCATGATTGAAAGTTGCTACTATTACTATCAAAACTGGAATGTTGCCCTCAAAATAATCACAGGCCAAATAAAATCAAATGGTGTAGGAAGACAGATGGACAATACACAGTGATGAAAGCAAGGAATCTTCATTATGTGCTCGAAATGATATAATAGATAACTGCCTTGAAAACTCATTTGTAAGACCAAAGACCCTAGTCATATTTCATCTGAATAGTCCCTCATGAGGCCAGTCTCACTCAGGACAACCTCAGGTGAAGGGGCATGACAACAGTTAATGAATGTCTCATGTGTCAAAAAGCTTATGAGACTAACAGACACCTATTCCTTCATTGTCCAGTGACCACTAATTTTTGAAATTTATTTTTTACTATTTTTTATTTGAGTTGAGTCATGCCTGCTGATTTAAAGGATACCTACAATAGTTAGAACTCTTAAAAAGTTGATAAATCCAAAAGTTTGGAAACTGATCCTTGTATTTTTTGGTGTGTGTGGAAAGAGAGAAACAAAAGGTGCTTTAATGGAATATCAACTTCAATCTACAACTTAAGATCAATTATGTTTTAACTTTATATTGTTAGACTATGGTTAGATCCGTTAGACTCTAATGTCAATCTTTTGGACTTTGTAAACTCTTTAGTCCTAGCATAGGATACTTTTAAATGAGCTTACAATCTCACTACTTGTGTATCTATATTACTTGAATCTTTTTTATGCCATTTATCCCATTTCTTACTTTATCAAGAAAATGTAGTTCATTTCTGTGTACTCTTGAGCCATATGAAATAAGATTTTACACTACTAAACAGTGTCGAAGCAAGCATCAAAATGGTCTAAGGAGTTGGAGTAGGCACAAACAAATGCTTAAGGCAAAACCTGTACAGTTCCAAACTATAGAAGTATTGATCCTCTAGTTGTTATCTTCTTTAGATGACCCCTTAGAAATTTTTTAGGAAGGAAGCTTGAATGATTGTATACAACTAGTTGTTTTCTTCCTTATCAAGTAGTGTATATGATGCATAGATAGTTTATTTTATAGTTTGTTAGTTATTCCTAATAAAATTCTTGTTATTTTTTTTTTTATAAAAATAGGAAATAAGACAAAAGATACCATTAGTTAACTTACTATTAGATATCGACGGAGATACATATAGCCGAGTAGTTCTCCAAAAAAACAAGATGAATGAAAAATAGCAATACCCAAAAAAAGAACTCAATATAATCACTACCATGAAATAAATTTACAAGAGTATAGAATCCTTATATGGCATCTAATTAGTGTTGCATCTTTGTCCTCTCTTGTGAGTTCTTTCCACTTGTTTAGAAGCAAAAGAAAATTTCGAGCAATTATCCCTAGCTCATTGGATAGTTTTGCCGATTGATCTGGTTTAGTTGGGCCTTCCTTTACCAACTGGGATCTCTATTTTCATCTTTCTTCCTTGAGCCTTCTTCATTTTTTCAAGACCTTTCCCTCTAGTCTTGCCACGACCATTCCTGATTCTAGTGGAATCATCTGATGAAAAAAGTCAGTTCAAAATACAACCTATAATCTTAAAAACATACACGTGTGACAGTAAGGCACATGATGAAAACTAAAACAACTGCATTTTTTAAATTTATTGTATATTAATGAGCAACTGAGTCAAAAAATTCACCGATAAAACAAAGAGAACATACGAGAGCTAACAACATCTATTTTTATCATTTCTATCATGTTTGCTGATTATATGTTCGCCCATATTACATAAATGTTGTTGGATTTCAAAGATGTAGATTACAACAACTACATATTCAGAAAAAGGTTCAAATTGTGCATATTGATAGAGTAGGTAACTTTACATACCTAATTTTTATGCCATGATGAGCAAAGGAGAGTTAGCCAAACATAAACCAAGTCTAAATAGAAATGCTTATATGTAATCTATGGAAGCATTTTCAACTTCTTAGAGTCAATTTGTGTAGTTTATATAGCATATTGATAAAGTAAAATCAATTGCAATTGCTCATACAAACAACCAATGACTTTCATGTTATGAAAAATGCACCTAAGATTATGGATGATGTGATGAAACACTTCTTTTAAAATGTTAATATATCATAGATAACTTTAAGATTTAAATCCACAAATCTTGAGTTGATGATTGAATTACAAAAATAACAGCCAAGATCATCATAAGAATCATTCGAGTAACTCGGAAGTACATGTAAAAGAGGATATTAAATTAAAGAAGATAACAGAAAGGACAAAACAAACCTGCATAAATAACCTGCATACAATAGCACAATATCAGATACTCGGATATTGAGCTATCGTCCATATTTCACGTAACAAGTTTAACATAAATAAAAATTTCAATGGTTAATGTTTTTGGCTCCAACTTAGTCAATAACTAAATAAATTAATCCTAATTAGTATAATAAAATGTATTACTTGTATTCACAGCAGGAGTATGGTTATTTGATTCATCTAGTGATTGAGTATCTTGGCTTGTTTCCCCTGTAAGTGTAGTTTGCTTAAAAACACATCCACCCGGTGCCATCAATTTGCAGAATTCTATCAAAACAGAAAATGTAAGTTTAGAATGTTAATAAGATATAAAATCCAATGGTTTAACAAAAATATTTATGTAAAAGCACCAATCATTGACAACTAAAGGAAAATCTAAAAAGAACATAATCATTACTTCAGAAAATCTTGCACACGCCATTTATCAATATATAAGAGTTTACTGTCTATCGAACTATTGAAGAATCTCTAGAAAATCAAATAACTAGTTTAACATATCAAAGATATATTTATGCCGGAAATATGTTCAAATTTGAAGACACAATAACTTTTTCGAAAGCTTATATAAGAGAAGGTCTTAAGAAGAGGTTGTAGATCTAAAAAATGTTGAACCTCGTGAAGAAATGCCTATTGATTTTAGCAAAAAGTTTAATTGTCCTACAAAATATTCATCTCAAATGATGTTGTTTCAGTTCATCCAAATTCAAAGTTCCATCAACCTATCCTAACTCAAGTTCAAGAAGCATAATTTGACAGCCTTGAGTACCATGTTTCACAATCCATCCTATCTTCCTTCGAAATCTGAGGGAGAACATCAATAAATGAACAAACCAGAGGAAAAGTTGTTCCAAAAGAAGTCTTGAATAGTGTATACTTCACTAGTATGTTTCACACACAAACTGTAAATACGCACACCACACGAAACTGAAATCTACATGATAGGTTAAGAGTGTTTGTTTTCCAAAAACTTATAATTAACTATATGAAATAAACATAGAGCAAGATCAATGGTTGCTTCACAATAATCAATGAATAATCATTCAATATATGATTGCCACATATAACTATCTGTCTAATTTTGTTCAAACTTAAAATAAGACTGATACATACCTGGTCTTGTCAGGTTCAGAAACTTTGCTTCACATTGTAATTGAAACTTTTCCGTCTGTTTTCTCATATATATGGTGGTTATCCTGAAATTCTTTTGGAGCCAAAAGAACAAAAAAAATTAGGGCCAAAAGACAGTTTTTTTCCATTTCTCAGCTTTCTATAACTTTATTTGGTGGGTGAACATGAAGAAGTGAAAGAAGTAGTGGAGCTTATTAACCCAGAAACTTAGGAAGTGGAGAAGTGTGTGGTCAACTTTTTGTTTTAGGATTTAACATTTATCTTTTCCTCCACTTAATATTTTAAAATAAAATTACACACAAAAGGACATAATGTCGATCAATACTTTAGAAAAAATAAAATTGCACACACAAAAAGGCATAAATGTCCAACAATTTTATTTATCAAAATAAATTTTGAAGGTAAATTCTTTATGCTTAGAACTAAAAAGGAAATCAGGAAATGACTTCAGTTGAATGGAAAAAGTAAATTACTTAGAATAATAACATTAGTAACAAAGGGAAAAACTACTGCATACATATCAAAGATCTCAAAAAAAAATGTAAAATCAATGTCGATTGGACTAACAATTGTACCTCTTTTAGCTGAAACCCAAAACCCTAGGCCTTTTACTTCTGGTTGATTATCCTAAAAAACTTGAATCGCTAGAGAACCCACTTCGGAAATCAGGGATCTAACTAAGAGCAACACGCTCGAGCACTTTTTGGTCTTCAGTCAGCTGCGATTCTGTTGCTAAACAAACAAACCATAGCAAGAGAGATAGTGAAGACATCGATGATGATTTTGAGCTAACATGCAAAGCTCCAAACCTCTGAAATCGAATCTGTAGTAGCTCTACATCAGAGATAATGAACTCTTCGAATGGATCAATTTGTGTACTTCGAAAATAAAGAATAGTTGAGCTAGTAAAATTAGGGGAGAAGAAAACAATTAGGGGAGAAGAAAGGAGATGAAGTGGCTGGGTAGAGAAGATGGGAGCTGAAGAGTTTCCATAACTTTCCTAATTTCCTAATTAATTATCATCTAATGAAATTTCACTTCTCTTTGAATTTTGGGCCTATATTGGGCAATGTTTTTGTTTTGTTTTCTTGAGATTGGTACGACACACATTATATATATATATATATATATATATATATATATATATATATATATATATATATATATATATATATATATATATATATATATATATATATATATATATATATATATATATATATATATATATATATATATATATATATATATATATATATATATATATATATATATATATATATATCTGTTTTGTGGTTTAAAGTCCTATATTTTGCTAACAAGCAAGGGACACTCCCTTAAACTGTTTTACTTTTTTTTTTCTAATTTAAGAGTTTCTTAATAAATACTCTTAAATATATTTAAGTAAAATAAATAACATATTCTAATATTCTTTTCTTAAAAAAGGCACAAGAGCGTAGCGAGCACAAACAAAGGAAATACACATGGGTCTCCTTGAAGAACGGTAGCACGCTTCTTTCTCATATCGATCAAGGCTTTACTTGAGTAAGGGGAAAGAAGTAAGGGTGTAGCCCTTGCGTGAAAGTCGTTGCACCTTAGCGCATCCCTTTTCTTGCAGGACTGTTAACGACAACCTTATGTGTATTCTATGTTTAGCTACATTACCAACTGTCAATTCTTGTTCAACTCCCTAACAGAAGCAGCAGCAACGCTGCAACTACAGCGATCAAAAGAAAAAAAAGGACTTTTCTTGTTCTATAGTGAGCGAACGAACGAATGAGAAACATAAATTTAAATTGAAAGTCTTGGCTCTCAAACTAAAGAGAGAGGTGGAAGAAGAAGAAGAACGAGAAGAAGGTAAGTTTCTTAACTTAGTCTAAAGGTTGAATTTGTATCTTCCATGACTATAAGATTGGGAATTGGGAAGTAGAGAAACATGGGTTTAGAAGAAAAATAGGAAATTTATTTCATTCTTATGAACCAAGTGAATATAGTCAATGATTTGAACTGTAAACTTTGCTATTGGGCTTATATGCAATAAGAGTAATTGGGTAGTAAGGTTAGGTTGATCTTTTTACAGCAAGAATTGACCAAGAAGAGACTAATGTGTGTGATTAAAGCACTAATTAAGTGATTGGGCAGATTTCGAATCAACCATGAAATCTCTAGGGCTGGGTTTTTTTAAAATGTAGTATGAATTACCTAAATGAAGGAGTTAAAACGAATTTATTATGAACGTGATTATAGATTGACCAAAGGAATTCATACGGAGTAATCTATTGGGCTTATATGCAATAAGAGTAATTGGGTAGTAAGGTTAGGTTGATCTTTTTACAGCAAGAATTGACCAAGAAGAGACTAATGTGTGTGATTAAAGCACTAATTAAGTGATTGGGCAGATTTCGAATCAACCATGAAATCTCTAGGGCTTGGGTTTTTTTAAAATGTAGTATGAATTACCTAAATGAAGGAGTTAAAACGAATTTATTATGAACGTGATTATAGATTGACCAAAGGAATTCGTACGGAGTAATCGAGTGGCAAGCTTGGTAACTCAACACAAGTTACTGTGAGTAGTAATCTTACCGCAATTGATGTTTTATAACTTGCATGACTTTCACATGGTGTATAAAGTAAAGGCGTTACCGAATGTTTTAAACTTGCATGTGGGACAAGTCTTTTACTGGATATGATACACCATGAAATCTCTAGGGCTGGGTTTTTTTAAAATGTAGTATGAATTACCTAAATGAAGGAGTTAAAACGAATTTATTATGAACGTGATTATAGATTGACCAAAGGAATTCGTACGGAGTAATCGAGTGGCAAGCTTGGTAACTCAACACAAGTACTGTGAGTAGTAATCTTACCGCAATTGATGTTTTATAACTTGCATGACTTTCACATGGTGTATAAAGTAAAGGCGTTACCGAATGTTTTAAACTTGCATGTGGGACAAGTCTTTTACTGGATATGATACTGAAAAGATCATTTGAGATGAACTCATTCTTACAAGATATGATTACTGATATTGAAAAGGTTTTACACTTATTTGAGAAATAACATTTTGACAAGTGATTGTTAAACTTTGAAATGTTCTGATTTGATAAGATATAAATGTTCTATCTGATTTTGAAATGCTTCTACAAATTATAAGAAAAGTATAAATGGGAGTAGACCTTGATGAATCCCGTAGCTAACAGCAGGATCGTTAGACCTGGTGCACCTTGTAGTTCCGATTACTGATAAAGCCCTTACTAGTGGGAAGGTAGAACTAGTATACTGTTACTGATACCCCTCGAGTAGGGATCTACTGATATGAATAATTAACTCCTTAGATGAGGAGTTCGCTGTTATTGGTTACTTCTTAAAGAGAAGACCACAGTGATTACATGGTTCATCCTTGGAAACCTCCCAGCTATAAGATTTGATATGAAAATGTTCTTTTTCTGAGTTTGCTATTATGTATGTACATTGATTTTGCTTATATGAGGCACCTAAGGTTGAACGTTGTTATTGTTTCTAAAAGAGCATTGTTTTATCATCATGACTATTACAGTAGCATGTTTTTTGACTTGTCCCTCATTAAAATGGTTGTGGTTAAGTATTATTACTCACTGAGCTAGCGTCTCAGTCCTCACTATTTTTTTTTACAGAGAATTCAAGTGGTATTGAAGAGGATTTCATTAACTAGCGTGTGAGTTGGTAGCATATGGTGAGCCCCACATTGCTTCGCTTTGCAAGAGAACTATTGATTTGTTATGTTTATTTAGTTTCTTTTAAAAAATCTTAGAGTCGCTCCATTTGTCATTCTTTTGATTTGAGTCAAGATTAGTCCTTCGAATTGTAGTCAAGTGACTAGTTTGGAACTTTTTTCCGTAATTTGGAGATGAATTGGTTTTATTGAGTGACAATTTGATCATTGATGGATATTACATGGTGGTTTATAGTTGTTATTAGTTGTGTTGTGAAATTTTGAGACAGGAAAAATCCAGGATAGGCCTAAAAACAAAGGAAACTCTGCCCAATTTTCTGTAGAATTCTGGTGAGACATGCTTTGGGATTCTCCCCCTTAGCGCCGGTCATGATCCTTAATTGGGTCGTGACAAAGTTGGTATCAGAGCCCTAGGTTATTCTGATGACTTATGGAGCACACGTTAGTAGTAGAATCTCAATTATGGTTATGTTGCCAGCCATTTCTATAATCGTGATTCTGCGAGGACGTGATAGGATGTGTCTTGTCTTTCTTTGTCATTCCTATTTATGTGTGTGATGTTTAGGGCCAACTAGATTAATCTAACATTATTCGTTTCTGATAACCAGATGGCTCGAACCCGATTATCTAATGGCAGAGTTACAACAGGTGTTCCTGAGGCGCCTAATGTCACTTCGGCTAGGCAGCCAACTTCCTCAACTTGGGGAAGGGACAGAGCCCGCAGAACCGATCGAGGAGAGGTTCGTAATGCTACCACAGGGAACCACAACACCACTATTAGGACTTCAAGGGAGGTCACTCCGAAAAGGAGCGCTAGCCCACCTCCGACATCGTTGGAGAATGCTACTAATGGGGTACTTGCCTCCATGCAGAAAGCCATAGAGAGTTTGGTCAATAGACTGGATAGACAGGAGAGGGATGGTCATCATAATGTTGCTGCTACTCAGACACATGCACCACTTCAGACACATGCACCACTTCAGACACCTGCACGGACTTATACTTTTGGGAATAAAGAGGTATCCTTGCAGGAATTCTTGAAATTGAAATCACCAAAATTCACAGGTTCTGATAGTTCAGCGGATCCTCAAAGCTTCTTGGATGGGACGTTCAAGGCCCTCGGGGCTCTAGGATGTTCTAGTGAGAGATCGGTGGAGCTAGCAGCATACAAACTAGAGGACATGGCTAACACTTGGTATGAAATTGTATTGCTAGGTCGACCTACTGGGGCGGCACCACTGAAGTGGGATGAATTCACTAAGTTGTTCATGGATAATTTCCTTCCTAACAGTCAGAGGCAGAAGTATGCAACGCAGTTTGAGAGGTTGGAACAGACTCCAGATGTGGATGTGGCAACTTATAATGCCAAATTCTGTAAGCTCGCTAGATATACTCCTTTGTTAGTACCTACTGAAGCAGATAGAGTTCAGAGGTCCGTGCATGGGTTGGTTAGTCGTCTATTCAATGCCCTAACCCCAAATATGAGTACCATGACCTATTCAGAAACAGTTGATCTAGCTAGAAAGATTGAAGATAAGGGTCGAGAGGAGCGTGCAACCTATGATGTACGTAAGAAGGCCAAGATAGGGGGATCTTACAGCGGCGACTTGGGTGCAAATCACAGAACAGAGAATCAGGGAAGACAACAACAAGGCTCTCAGACACGGATGGATACAGTTTCATCAGCACAGGTATATCGTAATTTTGGAAAAATGTATGCCACTTCTCCATCCTGCCAGACTTGTGGTAAATCACATGTAGGCCAGTGTTGTGTTGTCACCGAAGGTTGCTTTCGGTGTGGTCAGTTGGGGCATCGCATTAGGGATTTCCCTCTACCTCCGAGAAACCCCACACAGACTTCTGCTCAGATAGCAACACCTACTCATACAACTCATAATGGTTCAGGTAATACGGGTACAGGAAATAGAGGTAGAGGTGTTGGAGATCGTTTCACTGGAAATCAAGGACAAGGGAATGCCGATAGAAGTCAGTCAAGAGTTTTTGCACTTACTAAACAGGATGTTCAGGCCTCAAATGCGGTGGTTACATGTATTCTTTCAGTTTGTTCCTTTGATGCTCATGCTTTGATGGATCCAGGATCTACCCACTCCTATATGTCCTCATACTTTGCTTTGGGATTTGATAGACAACCAGAGATGTTGAATCATCCTTTTCTTGTTTCTACTCCTGTGGGGGATTTTTTGTTAGTTGAATATGAGTATCGTGATTGTCAGATAAGAGTTGAGGGTAGGGATACTCTAGCTAACCTAATTGTACTTAATATGATTGGTTTTAATGTGTTGATGGGCATGGATTGGTTATCTCCTTGCTATGCTACTGTTGATTGTCATGCAAAGATAGTCAAATTTGAAATA